CCGGATAAACATAATAATATGGCACATACATAATGTCTATATAAACATCACCAATGTTGCAAAAAAAATAAATAAATAAATAAATAAATCGACAAGAAACAATACATCCCACAAAACAAACTTTTTCAATAGTTTTTCCATCACCATTCTAAACGACTTTGGATAATGGATTAATCAAGGAGGATAACAATATCTGAAAATTAATCGACGATATTGAAGAAGGTGGCATTTATATCTTGACAAACTACCAAGGGGAAAGCAACATTAGCATTTATAAAACGACGATATGTCTTTGGAGGATCATTATCAATGGTCAAACTCAGATTCACAAGTGGAATGGTGAATTTCCTATGTATCGTTTTGACTTTAAGAACTTCATAACTTCAATGGATATTGGTAATACTGATGAAGCCAAAGAATCAAACCATGAACGTTGTATATAAAGAAGTGTTCAATTATATAGATTTTATTTTCATTATATTTATTTATTATTAATGGCATGATCTGTCCTTTAGTATATAATATGAATTTTAACTGAAAATTACTTTTTAAAAGGGACGAAAATAATAAAACCCCCGTGCATCGCACGGGTACCGTACTAGTATATTGAAAAAGAGCGGTCAATAAATCAAATGAGGAAAGTTTAAAAAAAATGTTAATCAATTAAGTTGACTAACCGAATATGACAATGTTTTGAAACCTAAAATTCGAAATTGTGATTTGAAATTTTGATTCCATATTGCGGCTGAATCTCTTTATTTATCTGCATTAGTTACTATCCACGTTTTTTTAATTGACTTGCACTATCCAAATTAGAGAAAATCTCTTTCAAAATTAATTGGTGGAACCAATCAAAATCAGATCTAATTATTCTCGCATCTCTCCAACAAATCTGATCCCAACTATTTCTCGACATCTCTCCCAATTCTCCCAAAACCAAATCTCCCAAAATAAGATCAAAACAAATCACATCCAAACCATTTCGCCAACTAGAGCTCGACATGAGGATATATGCACAACGGAGCTCAATCGGCTTCCCCGTCGACATCAATCTCCAATTAGTCACTAGAGAATCTCGGGATTTGCGTGTCAAAGGAGAAGTTGCGGGCGATGATCGGGAAGATTGAGGCTGACGAGTTCGGCGCCCTGTAAGCGGCGGCAATGAAAGATGACGGAGGCGACGAGGGGGATGGCGGTGAAGAGGACGTGCGGGAGGAATTCCTGGTTTTCCATTGGGATGGGGCGCGTTCATTATGGCGGATGAACTAAGGTCGGTGCTGGCGACGATGGGGCTGAAGTAGGTGAAGACACCGGATGAGTACCAGAATATGATCGTCAGGGTCGACTTAGGTGGCGACGGGAGTGTCAACTTCGGAGCCTTTCGGCAGATGATGAAGTGCGGTCGGTTCGTCAGGATAAATTTATTTATTTTTTTTTTTTTGTAAAAAATTTTATTTTGATGTGCAAATTGCAATTGCCAATTGGTTGATGTAGTTAATGGATTTTGATTATTGCCTCTATTTCTAATTGGGCTGAGAACTAATCTTATGTTTTTTATCTGCAAATTGCTTATTGAGGGGTTTCTGGAGAGGACTAAGGTAAGGGTTACGTATAAAGTCATTGGCCCCACAGAGAGTGGTGATGGAACAACAGCGGTGGCCGGATTCGTGACCTACTAGCCGGAGCTCCATCCTGGAGGCTGTGTCGTGCAGGATGCCGATGATTGGGTGGCTGATATACGCGGAGCAGAGGATGAACAAGCTCGGGGCATGCACCTGTTCCTGGTTAACACGAACTCCACTTTGTCTTTTTCCACAAGCCAGAGAGATTTCTTGAATCTGACGATAAGAATGGTCATCATGGTGGTGTTCGGCTTGAGAAAACTGTTCTAAAAGGTATATCTTCTCCATAGAAACTTATTCTACATTCTTACTGACAGTAAGAACTAATACTTTTTCCTACATGCTTTATTTTTTATGCTGTTAGGTTACAATTTTGGAACTAGATCTGATATAATGGAAAAATGCCTTAATTATTCCGCTGATGTATGGATGTATATCATTTTGGAAAAATTAAGTTTATTCAAAAGTACAGTTGAGGGCGCACATGTAAATATTTTACCCCTCTATAATATTTGTTAGCTTTCTTGTAGGAGATGATGAATTGAAGCAAGTTGCAGTTGGTACAGGGGTATATGAGGATGTGTCATGCGGGCAAGTTATACTGAACTCAACATTAAGATGCCTGCAGATATTCTGATATTTATTTACAATTTTTTGTTTTTCCATGGGATTTTATGTTTTTGATTTAAATATTTATTGCTTCAGCATGTTTTATGATGTATATACGGATATATATAAGTGAAAACCTATCTAAAGTCTAGAACTGAGAGGTTGAGGTGGTTGTGTGTGTGGCAATCTGCAACCTATTTATAGGTAGACGAAAAAAAAAAAACAAGGAAATGTAAAAGATAAATAGGAAGTTGAATTGAATAGATATTTGGTTTGGTTCATATAGTGACTAATTGATCAATTGTTGGAAGGTGACTTAATCACCAAGCTTTTGTTTTCCCTTTCTTCTAGCATAATTAGGTGATATTGCAAACAATTTTTATGTGGTTATATTTGATGATTATTTTGTAGGTTAGCACCGAAGAGTATAGGTTACAAATCAGTACCCATTGATGGTTTACCTTTTGATAACTACAAAGGTAATGTAAAAACAGTGAGTGAATTTTCAGTTTTGCATTTTTTTTCCTTATGTACTGCCTAATGAAATTTTGTCTCTCATTTTCTTTATTTCTATTCAAACTGCATGGTCCAAAAGTTTATAGTCCAACTGGGTTTAGATTTTTATTTCTCGATTGTTTTCACAAGTTTGCTTTCTCTTCAATATATATATATATACATATATATATATATATATGTATATTATATTTAGAATTTTTTTACAGTAATTGTTCCAAATCACGGAGGGCGTGTATTGGTTGATGCTTCACAAGATCATATGCAATACGAGACCGACTTATATGTGTGTGGATGGTTAAAGAGAGGACCAACTTGAATTATTGCCACAAACCTTTATTGTGCCGAGGAAAATGTGAGTGTGGAAAATTCTTCATGAAGTGAAAATGATGCTTAATAATATTTAAATGCCAAAACTACTATTTACTATTTAGGTTCATTCTATTTACAATATACCCATCTCCTTTTTCAAAATTTGAGATAAACCTTCTATGTTTGTTTTTACATTTATTCGCAAATATAGATAGATTATGGAGATTTGGATTCTGACACTATTTAAGAATGTAATAATGTTTATGCTTATATGTTTGTATTTGTAGATGACATTTATTCCGTTTTGTTAATTAACTAAATAGTCAAATACAGATCATATAGAAATTGTTGTCTTTGACAAAAGAATGACATGCTACAAAGTTATTATGAGCAGGGAATTGTAGTCTTTGACAAAAGAATGCCATGTTGCAAAGTTATTCTCCAAGCATATGAAGATTGAGGAACAGGTGGTGATTCTTATTAAATTTGAAATTTTGAAATGCCATATTGAGTTATATTGTTTGAATTGTTTATATCATTATTCTTATCACTGATATGCAATGCAGACCATGTCCCTAAAGTATGATAACTGAAGTATGTGTCAATCTATAATTTTATTGGACATTTGATTATACTATGAAACATCTTTAAGGATTAATTTGTCATCCTCTAAAAATTGAGTGCTAAATCAAGTTGTATGTTCTCATTCGTGCATCCTATTTCAAATTTCTCATACAAATACACATATATCAAAATAAAGTGCAAATTCGATCTCATTAAGGATATCTCTCGAACAAATAAACCATGCATGAAGCTCCATGCAATTTGAATCATTCAACACAAAATTGAGGCAGAATATAGGAACTTATTAGAAATATTATTTCATGATGAGAGGGTGGGTTGCAATTTTTTTTTTCAATTTTATGCGTGTTGTTATTTAAAATATGTAATGTTATTTTATACATATTTGTACTTATATTATTTTGAAATGAATATATAGGGAGGTTGTATCACTGTACTGATACGAGCAGCCAACATGAAAAAATGGATTAACATTCGCAAAGGCCAAGTCTATGGATTCAAAAATACTAAATTAAGGGGAACGCTGGCTCATTTTGTCTCACAATTGCCCAACATAAAACTGTAATCCATGATATGACAAATTTGGTTAAGTTCAAAGGTGACTTTCCCCTTTTTCGGTTTGATTTTTGAAGCTTTGTTAATGAGCGAGGCAGATTCCTCATATGGTTTATTATATCATGACGATTAATAAGAGTCAGTGTCAATCTTTATCACATGTTAGCCTGTTCTTAAAAAGGTCGATTTTCAGTGACGATCAGTTATATTCAGTTGTTTCTCATGTCGCTAATCGAAATAGCTTGAACAAATTAATTTACGGAAACGATGGTTTGCCTACAAGGCAAACATATGTTTTATTTTAGTTTTTTATTCCAGGTTGATTAATATTTTTTATTCACAAAAATAATAATAAGACTGTGCAAATAGCCTTAAAATTATTCACCCCGTGCATCGCACGGTTCCGTACTATAATAATAAAATAGAGAGTGAGAGAATTTATATCTATATCTATTGAAATAGAATGGTCAATAAATCATTTGTGGAAACTTCATAAAACTTTTGGGTCAAAGCTTTTGACTTACTTCTTTTAGAAATCCAGTTTAAATTATAATATTGCAGTATTTATTCCTCACGCATAGTCAACAACCTTCCTTTTTTTTCCGAATTTGATTTGTATGTAAAATTTCATAAAATCGATTTCACATGTTTATATATTAACAATAATTATGTAAGCCAAATAAAAAAAAATCATACTTTAATTGATTAATTATATTAAGTATAATTATAAGAAATCCTTAATTTTCGATTTTCTTATACATTAAATCATCAAAAAAACCGCTAGTTGCCATTTAGCGCAATCTAAAAAACTGTTAGTTACTATTTAGAATGATTTTTTTTTTTAGCATGAAATAAACAACCTTTTCATGCAATGATATCTATTACAGTTATTATAAAATAGTTAACGGGCTTTAAATATGTCCGATATTGTTACTTGCATATAAATTGGGTACACATTTTTAAAATTGAGATCCACATATATACGAGATTTACAAATTCTCTTTCAAAAAACGTTTAGGTTTAAATCAAATAATCAGTTCACAATTCTTCTTCCAAAACAATCGTTATAAAAAAAATCATCCTAATTAATAATTAATAAATTATGTATTTGATTTAAATATAATTATTTTTATTACTGACAATTATGCAATTGATGAGAAATAAAAATTTTGTTTACAATAGTAAAAATAATTTTTTTAATCTTGAGGTGTAATCGAATGTCGTCACCAACCTGCACAGTAATGTAAAATATTAAATTTACACGCAATATAAAATTTGGTAAAATATTAAATTTACATGGTAAATCACATCTAAAACACTTGCAATATCATATGCCATACAATGAGAGTACAAATTGATAATAACAAGAGCCATATATTGTTACCTACTCTTTGCAATTTCAAGATAACAATATCATTTTAAAATATATCTTTTTATTTCATCTCGGTGGAAACCCAATTGAATTAAGTAAACAAAATATTTAATATTTGCTTAAAAAAAAATCTTTTTCGCCGTGTATAATAATTGTCTTTTAAAGCTTGCAAAATTCTATTACCTAATTCAATAATTTTTGTTTGTAAATTAAAAAATTCATGAATTTGATACCAATTTGATTTCTTATCTATATATATTGAAAGAGGTTGATGGATGTGGAAAGTTGACTTTTTATTTAAATAGTTTGACTTACTTATAAAGGAAATTTTTTGAATAAAATTTAAAACTAACTTTTATCCTTTTGTCTGAAATAAAGTTTTCAAATTTGTATGTTTAAATATTGTCCAACTTAGCTTCTTATCGTGCACTTTAATTTTCAAAATTTTTTTAAGGCCAAAATATTGTCCACTTTTTTGAACTATTTATTTGTCATATTTTTTAAAACAATTACGTATCATTAAATTTTTTAAATATGTGAGTATATTTATAAATGGAAGACAATAATATTTGGTATTACGTTTTCCACAATAAATCTCAAACTATGAAATTAGTCATTTAGATTAATATCTTAAATCGAATATTTGCAGTATTTTAATTACATATAAAATCATCTCGATGTTTAAAAAGTTTGTGTTCATCATTTTGCATTAAAAAAATAAATTAATGTTAGAAAATAAATTAATTAAGAGTTAAGTAATGGTAAATGCTATTTTTTCACAATTTATTTATTTATATTGTATTTTTGCTTATATATATATAAGCAAAAAAAATTATTATGCTTAAAAACATAATAATTGATATGCAAAATATCTCTGTTATGTAGTAACTTATCGCATTGCAAAATCAATTGATTAATTTTAAATTTTTAAAAATTAGTATGTTTATTATTTTTATAGTTACAAGTATGAATTACAGTTACACGGTAGTACGAAACACTATAACATACAAATCTTGAGACACAAATTATTGTATAAGTAGATAAATCGTCATAAAAATCTTAAAACTAAAACTATTGTGTCCGTAAATAAATCATAATGAAATCCTATGACATGTATTTGTGCAATTTTATGAAAAGGGCAATAATGAGACCAGATTCATTCAGATGTGGAATTTTGTCCAAGTCCAACTAAAAATTACAGATTTTTGTTTATATTGGAATTGTGCACCTACACATTAAGTTGTATCCAACTTTGTGTATCATTTTCTCGTAATATATCTTTCAACATCGTAAGATAATCGCAGTAAGTTCGATCTTATCATCGTGAGTAGTAATTGTTTTAATCGTACTATATATGTTTCGATTCAAATCCAAGTGGGGACAGTGTCTAGGGAAAAATTGTTTTAATCGTACTATATATATTTTAGTGGTGAAAAAGATTGTTGTTATACAAATGTATATTTTCACATACAAATAACATACTCTAAAAGACCAATATAAACAAAAATATGATATTTCTCAGTATAAATATTTAACTTTGTTCAATAAATATAACGAGTCGATCCGCCTAGCTGTTAGACTATTATATATAAAAAAAAAATTGTGCAATAATTGTATTTATAGAAGATGGAGATTGTCGTTTTATATTATTTTGACCTATATTTCATACTAATACTTTTACAATAATTAAAATAGTTTGTTAATTAACAAATATCTTGCGGCTACTGGCTAGTGAACAATAATTAAAGTAGCAAGTGTGGTGGGATCCCTAGGATCTTCAATTGCGTGATTTCCTAAAAAGGGAATTTGAACCTACTCGTCACACATTCACACTTTTATCACACACTAGCCAGCTGGTTAAAGTTCGATGCATGTAAATTACTCTAATATATAGAAAAAGATCTCCCCTCCCCATGCTCGATTTGGATTCATTTTTTTTCGCACTTTCCAGCTTTTAAAGCTTAGACCCACTCTAATTTCGGCTGATTGTTAGTTGGATTCACCAGTCACCAAACCTGAAACTTTTAACCAGTCTAAATCATCAAGCATTTCTCTTGTTCTTGACATGAAGTGAGACTTTGTCAGCTCTTTTACAAGCCTTGGTTCTTGAAATATCCGCCTCCCAAAGGTTTTCTTTTCTTTTTATTTTTTTCTCCAACATCTTTTGAATCCTGAGATCTTTTCTTTTCTTGTCACCTGTTTGCTGTGGATTCTTGTTCACAAAAGTGTTCTTTTTCTGATCTGGGTTTTGGTTAAAGTGAGTAAAGGTGAGATTTTTTTTTTTTTCTTATAAAGATTCTAGCTTTTCTTGGGGGCTTCCTTTTGAGAATCCTAGGATCTTTCAGCAAAAAGTAGTTTCATTTTGTATTGTCATTATTTCTCAAGATCTCATCCATTGAACAACCTATTTTGTTGATTTTTGCCCACGATCTTTACACAGAAAGATGGATTCGTGTTGTGCCACCACCATTAAAGCTAGGGTGCTGCCAGCTCCAATCAATGGGGGTTTAAGAAAGTGCGACACTGGCTTTTGGGGAAAAAGAATTAGGGGAGGTTTAAACGACGACGTTTTTGGAGCCAGGCTCGCGAAGAAGCTTAGCGGAATAAGGGTAAAAAATATGAGGCCGGGAGCTGCATTCTCTGTTCTTACGCGTGATATAAACAAAGAAATGGCGGCGGTAAGATTGACAAATTCTGATGAAATTCGTTCTTCTAAAAAAAAAAAAAAAGAAAAAAAGTTGCGTCTCCAGTTAATGTGAGTTTGTAATTAATTGCACGATGATTTCCAGGCGATTGAATCTTCATATGCAGAAGAGAGCCCAAAGGCCGATCCATCGACTGTGGCCTCAATAATTTTGGGCGGAGGTGCCGGCACTCGTCTTTTCCCTCTTACTAGCAAAAGAGCAAAACCAGCTGTAAGAGAAGAAGAAAAATCTACATTTGATTTTAACTTTAATTGAATTTTTAATTGCCTCTGATGTAGATTGGGGGAATTGGCTTTTTCTTTGAGATGTCGTAATCACGATCATGTTATGGTTAAGAAAATACATTATGAGCCTATTTATGGTGATTTTGTTTTTCTTTTGAAAAAAAAATGCAATCTTTGCAGGTTCCAATTGGTGGTTGCTATAGGCTAATTGATGTGCCTATGAGCAACTGCATCAATAGTGGGATTAGAAAGATTTTTATCTTAACACAGTTTAATTCTTTCTCCCTCAATCGGCACCTTGCTCGGACTTATAATTTCGGAAATGGTGTGAGCTTTGGAGATGGTTTTGTGGAGGTTAGAGACTCCTATGACGAGGAAGTTCTTGTTTTCTGAATGCCTTTTGGACTCGAAAACTTTTTTTGTTATTAATTTTAATTCACGTGAATGATTAATTTGGATATTAGGTTCTAGCTGCCACTCAGACTTCAGGGGAAGCAGGAAAAAGATGGTTTCAAGGGACAGCCGATGCTGTTCGGCAATTTATATGGGTTTTCGAGGCGAGTGGTTCAGAAAATTACTCTTTTAGATCTTTTTTTTTTTTTGAGTTATTTTTCAGTTGGGACTAACTTGGTTGATATGTGCTTGTTTGTATAGGATGCAAAAAATAAAAATGTCGAGCATATATTGATTTTGTCGGGTGACCATCTTTATCGAATGGACTACATGGACTTTGTCCAGGTACTTTGCTGGCTCAACTACAATTATGCCAATTTTTTCCGAGTCATTACTTCTGCTTGTTAGTTTGATTATCAATGTAAAATGTGATTTTGCTGGCTCAACTACAATTATGCCAATTTTTTCCGGGTCATTACTTCTGCTTGTTTATTTGATTATTAATGTAAAATGTGGTTTTGCAGAAACATCTTGATACAAATGCAGATATTACTGTTTCTTGTGTGCCCATGGATGATAGGTATGTTAAATCATTATTTCAAATTTTATTCACTTAGAATGAACAAAACATGCCTAGAAATGAGTTCTTTTCTGCCTGTTTAAATTACCTCACATATTTTTGCATCATCACATTTTCTGTTTTTATGGCTCTGGCACATCTTTCCTAGTGACCAAGAGTCTGTTGATATATTGTAGCATATAAAGCTTATGAATAAATACCTTCATGATGGAACATTTTCTTCAATTCTTTTATTTATTTTTTTAATAAATTTATTTTCCTACTGCAGTCGAGCCTCAGATTATGGGCTAATGAAAATTGACGAAACTGGCCGAATCATTCATTTCTCAGAGAAACCAAAGGGTTCTGCTCTGAAGTCTATGGTAATCAGCAGCCCTTACATTACGACCTTTATAGATTTATTTGAATTCCGAAGATTTGTTTTTGTCACATGATATTATAATTTTTTTTCAATTTCCACATGTTTTCTTCACTCTTTTGGTTATGTTTGATGATGTCATGCAGCAAGTCGACACCTCTATTTTGGGACTATCTAATCAAGAAGCTGCACAATTTCCATACATTGCATCAATGGGAGTGTACGTATTTAGGACGGATGTTCTATTAAAACTTCTGAAGTCGACTTATCCCTCATGCAATGACTTCGGATCCGAGATTATTCCTTCGGCTGTGAAGGATCATAATGTTCAGGTGGGCATTTGAGTTTTTACTCACATTTTATGGTTTAGGGGAGAATGTGTTATTTCGAAAAAGAACTTGTGTCTTTGTTTAATTAGAGACTTTAGAGGAAACCTTTGTAATTTTCCCAAAATACTTTATTTTCTGCTCTAAGTGTTTGCATGTGGCAGGCGCATTTGTTTACGGACTACTGGGAAGATATAGGAACCATAAGGTCATTTTTCGATGCCAATTTGGCCCTTACTGAGC